ACAACTTATATTTCAAAAGTACTTACAAATTTCGAGTCGATTTTTTATAATGTATTAAATATTTCGACTAATCTATATGCTGTTTCCATAGATTAAAATAAACGATCGGTTTCATAGGTAATAATAATCTTTGTGGCTGAGTCGGTATATTATATACGCTCGTATTTAAAATAAAATAGATATATCTATACAGGGAAAGAAAGTACGCATTACTTGAAACGCCGGCCGTTACTAATTATCGTTATTTTGTTGTAATAATGATTTAGTAATGACGTCACAAATTTGTTTATATAAGGTAGCATTAGAATTGGAAAAGCGTCACTCGTTATTTGTAACGATGCTTACAGCGTGTGAAAACGAAACATATCCTATGTATGTACATAAAATTTGGCGGTAACGAGAAACAAAATTTTTAGTGCAGTCAAGATGGCGCAAAATTTTGGTGCAACGACAAATAACAGGCCCAAATAAATCACTCACTCTTTGGCTGTATCCAGTTGCATCACTGCTATCTAGTCGATGCTCTCTCAATCTTCTTCTCCCTCATCGTTCCATCGTTACCGCATTTTTCTGACGCACGAGATTATGCCCTTCTTCTTCTTGATCTTCCTCAAGACTTCCTAGAGAAGTCGACTCAGGTTAGCTTCAAACGTTCAAATCTAATCAAAGGATGCTTTCCATTTGATGACACAAGTCGAACAAGTGTCATTCTATCTTTGTCACTCTCTGAATGTCAAATAAGTATGTGCGTTCGAGAAGACGCTATTAGCGCTATTTGTGTCATTCTATCCTTGTTTTACGTATAATAAACAACGTAGACACAGAAGTAGCGCTAATAACATCTCCCCGAATGCACCACAAGAATAGAGCGACACTTGTGTCGACTTGTGTCTTCAAATGGAAAACACTCAACGAGAATCTAATCCTCTTTGCTCCTAGGAGGCTCCTATGGAGGCTTACGCGCACGGTCTCAAGTCTCATCATCACAAATATTTCAAAGCAATTTACCAATTAGAAAAAGTTTACTAACTTACCAATCAAAAAACGCTTCAAAGCATCAATAACGTTACGTTCAGGTTGACTGTACTCTTACTCAACTAATATTGAGCGATCGAGCGAGAAATTAGCGCGAATGCAGACAAATATATGACGTCGGCCGTGGTCACGTACGCACTTTATTGAAGTTAAAAGTGACGATCGCGCGGCACTTCAGGCGGTACTCCCGGGACCTCGGGTGCGTTCTGAAGTACGCACGAAGCGCGTGAAGGATAAGTGGTGCGTTCGGGGGGGACGTTATTAGCGCTACTTCTGTTATTCTATTTCTTTGTTGTTTATTAGACGTAAAACAAGGATAGAATGACAGAAATAGCGCTAATAGTGTCTCCCTGAACGCACATAAAATGATACCCCACGCGCTTCGTGCGTAATTCGGAGCGCACCCCCACATTAGAATTGCGTTTTAAGACAGAAAACTGGCGCGCAGTTTGGAGAATTTGATGTACACAAATTCATTCTATATATTATCACGCATCAAGACAAGGATCAAAATTTCTTTTGTTTAAAAACAGTAAGTTGGCTTAAAAATAATCAATATACTAATCACAGAGGCCAACTGTTTGCTGCAATGTTAATTAATACTGATTTGTTATCCAAGAACTATTTTTTATTATCGTAATCATGCTATTTTTGTATTAAAACTTTTGACTCCATAAAAAATACATACATTATTAAAATGTGTAATAATTACAGGATACTCTCTTATGAAAGTATAAATATTAATTTATTAGAATGTTTTGAAAAAATAATCTTTTAAAATAAAAATTTAATGGACTAATTAATTGTTTTGCATTGTAATAGCATTATTCATTTTCAAGTATTATATCACAAAAAGTCCCTATTAGATTACGCATTGTGTCATGTTCTTCGTAGCGTATTGCCGGTCAAGACGCAAAAAGAACTCGCATTAACGCGCGCACATAGCGAGGTAAAAATCGCTCGGCATGAACACGTTACTTCTTACACAATCGGGAGATGTACCAGATCTACCGCACTGCTAATAGCAAATTTCTAAAATCATTTCGAGACAAAAATTCTAATATCACAAAATGTCGGGACTATATAAAAGTTTTTGAATTATAAGTATTTAGAATTAGCGAATGATATCACTTTAATAGCATTTTTCATTGGCAGAACTAATGCGCACTCAGTGCATTTTAAAGTCGTACAAAAATCGACGTAAAGATATACGTTTAATAAAAATATATAAACGAATTAAACCGTGAAATATTCGATACATTTTATTGTGCTATTTGATAAAATAAATTTTGGGCTTTTATCGATTGAGATATCTTATTTTTATATTTAGATTAGAATAGTGTACAACAGCTTTAATGTGCACTGAGTGCGTACTAGTTTTACAAATAAAAAACGCTATAAGTTGATGTGTTTAGATGTGATTGGCACTTTGCGACAAAATGTCAACCACAACTAAACGAGGAGCTCAGATGACATAATTCGCTAACTTGAAATGCTTATTAATTTTGATGCGGTAGGTCTGGGAAATCCTACATATTGATGAATTTATCGGATAATCGCTCGATCATATTTTTATATTTACGTTTATTTTTTTTTCCTATTCGACTTTTTTTCGAGATCGCGCGACTACCTGCTCCGTATTGAGATACCCAAAGGCGAGTGTGTAAGAAGTTACGAAACGCTTTCTCCTTGTATGATGAATATTTTAAGTATGCAGCTTGCACCACTTCCTGTTACACCGATTGGGTCTGCCGATATGCTATCGAAAAAAAAGAAAAGAGCATAATTGCAACGGAGCGTGTAATATGTACAACACGGTCTCGATCGTTACCTTGGTCTTAACACTGAATGGTTTGTTTGGAAAGCTTCGTAATCGGTCTGAACGCAGGAGAATTGGCAAGAATGCTAGTATTCTTATATGCAGCTGATGTACGATACCAATAAGGTACATGCGTCTCACAAAATTTGAGATAACAAAGTAAGGCACGTTTACGAGATATTATAATCTGTAATTTCGAAATTGTATCTTTTATTCAATTGCAATTAAAATCACTACTTCTTTCGCTACATAAGCCTTAGAATTTATTTTAATAAATGTGTTAATTAACACATATTAAAAATTAATGTACTAAAGTGTTATACACGCAAAGTGTTATAAATTAATGCATTTATTAAAGTAAATTATAAGAATTCAATAAACGCAACGAAAAAACTATATATGTACGTTTTATATTTATAATTATATACATATAATTGCAAGGTAAAATAATTAGAAGCTTCTACAGGTATTACTGCCATAATATGTTAATAATAATAATTATATTTATATTATATTTATAATTTTATCGAAAAATATACATAGTTGGTACCAAAAATTACTATAAATCATATATGTTTACAGCACAGAAACTTGCAGCAATATTACTGGAATAATCTATGTTATATCGTAGTTAAATTATAGTAATTGCAATTTTTGCTCTCAGTATATATAAATATTACGGAAGGAAATTATTATTGGGGGAAATCCGGTATAGTATGCAATTATGTGTGCAAGGTACCATTCATGTATACGCGTTACATCAATAATGATATATTTATCATCATGTTCGCACATGTTCGTGTCCATTTGTGAACTTTCGCTAATCTAATATTGTATTTACAATTAGAGGCAATTAATTACGATGCAAACTAACTTCCTTCAAATTCCACACGCGATATTTGGGAAATCATTCACTATATCATTCGTGAGTAGGACGATTATGTATACGTCTGTGATATCGTGTCACACTTAAATAATGAATTTACATTTCATAGAACTTTAACCTTTTACGGGATTAATCAGACTTAAGTTTCTCTCCAAAACCAGAAGCTGTTTCAGCGACGCAATGCTATGAGTGAAATCAGTACAATTTATTGATGCAAAAGCGAGGACTTTCTGTGTTCGTGCATATATACGGCGAATATAGTGTAATCTTTTTGTAGGATAATCAAGAGTAAAAGTATCTTTACAATGAATCCATCTCTATCTATTGTGCGTTGGTCAAAGAAAAAGGAAAAGAAAAAAACGCATCTAATGGAAATATTCTTCACGGAAAACAGTGTTTCGCTTCGTGACGTAACGCCAATTTCCTGACATTTTTATAACACAACAGGATATATAAATTAATTAATTTATGAACTAATGAGAAATTTATGTTTTCGGGTTTTTGTGCGCACTCTCACTTTTTTTATTCACTCTCACAGAAGCAGTTCTTCCACGTACATTACGTATACCATCTTTATTATATCATATAGTAATTAATTTAAATACGAAACTATAATGTATAATGATGAAAAACGATAAGAATAAAATAACAGAATAATAATAGTATTATATAAAATAACATTCTATAAAATATTAATTACAATGCATGTTATTAAGATAAACAAAGTAATACTTTCACTTGATAAGCCAATTTATTATTATTATACAATCAAAAATTAAGTTTTCACAAGTATTGAACTGGATGTCATTTAGCAATACATTTATCAAAATAATCCGCTAAGTAATTTCAATAATGTTATTACATGTGTGTACAAGTCACAACCGTCGCGGATTCACACTTTTTTAGAAATTATTTTGACAAACGCCAACAGGTTTGAACGATCCGCGAATGAGAAAAAGGAAATTGCTCGAGTTACGTACGATTGAACACGTTATCGAGCAAAGTCCGATCTCGTAGTACGCTTTAGGCACACTCGATCGTATTTCCCGCACCACTTCGAGACGCAACTTACACATATCGTACGCACAACGGAAAGTTACGCAGCTCCGAAACGGACGTAACGCAGGCCGTACATTTCCTTGCTTTTACGTAACCCCCTGGATCCCAAGCCACTTTGCTCTCCCACCCCATACAATTTCACCGGGTAGTTTTGGTCATCGCCGTGTCCGTTCTTTATAAGCGGACATCCCCGACGATCAAAACACAGAATCGTATCGGCACAGTATTGCAAACAGTGCAGCACAGCCGTCATCGCCGCGAATTTTCAAAAAGTAACGATCGATCGATTAAAATAAACAAGAGTCGAAGATGCGCTCCCACACTATCGCTGTGAGTGATTTATTATTATATACCTACGTATTATTTTCATCGCACTCCTTTCGGTACTTCCGATGTTCGTCGTTTGGTTTTGTGGTCGTCAGTGATTTTAACAGTACAACTAAGTGTATACCGCGTCAATTTTGCAAAATGTGCTTTGTGATTGCAAAATTTCTCTCGAAGATGAGAGTCCCCGAAAGATATTTGAAATTTCTTGATATTCAAATCGTAATTTTGTATAATTAAGTTGTACTCTTCTCATTCTCAGGCGAAATTTTAATTAACCCTGCGCTCCATTCTATCTTTCTCTTCCGAAATATAATGAACGATAAAGACAGAATGAAGCTTACAACGCGTGTGCCCAAAGCGAACGCAAGATATGCGACAGATAAGCAAAATTTTTTAATGTATATCTTTTAGCTTACTATACAGAAATACGGCGATAAAATCCATTGACTATTTGTAGAGCTGTAATTGTTTTTTTCCAGTATTTAATTAGACTAAATAAATATTCAATAAAATAATCATTGAATACATTTTTTGAGGATAATGCATTTAACTAGTAGTATATCAAGGATCACGTTGAAGACCAAAATTGTGAACTTTTGTTATAACATTAAAATTCTTTCATTAGAAAAAAAAAGAAAAAAAAGTTGGTTTTTTTCATTGACTGGAGAGATCTTGATTAAATAAATGATAACACAGGCACGTAAAACAAAAATTTAATGTTTGAACTAGAGATCAGATTTTTATGTATTTTAACGCTGTATGTTTAATTTGCTCCATCACGTTACAATAATACTGGAAAAGTATTAGTAGTTTTCCGTCGATAAAAAAAATTGTGATGTGATGGAGTAATTTGAACATTGAATTCGATTTTAGAGCGTCAAAATACATAAAAATATTAATGTCTACTCTTTAAATAAAAAAATGTTTTGTGTCTGTATAATCATTGCTGGTTGAATTTGTAGAAGTCCGGTGCTTTTACATCGTCGTTACGCAGGAAAAAGACGGTAAGAGTGGTGAAACGGGAATTTAAAAAAAAGCCGTGCATTTAAATGACTTTCTGTACGCGATGCACTTTCGATATTACAAACAAACCGCGATCACCCACCTCTCGTGTTGCAGTTGCTCGTGTTCGGAATAATGGCTGTTGCTTTGGCATCGCCGGTGCCGGGAGGAGGTCATCATCAGTAAGTAACGCTTCGACAGTTTTTTACTTTTATTTTAATCTAGAAGTTTCACTCTATAGAACATCACACCTCTCTTAAAATTACTTATAATTTTAATTATTTATAATGTAATATAGATAGTTATTATATAGTATTATTATTAATAATTTTGATTACTCATTGCATAATATTAAACAAGTAAAATAATGAATAAATAAGAAGAATAATTAAATATGGTATTCTTTTTCTTATTTGATTTATTCTTATCGGTCAAAATTTTACTTATAAATCATTTACTCGAAAATATGATATCACATGAAAAACGATTGGATGATTTCAGTGAACATCACATAATCCACGTGCCTTACAAAGTGCACACGATCCATCATCATCACACGAAAAAGATCCACGTGCCTGTGCATCATGTCGAGAAAGTCCCCGTTCACATTCCGTTTCCAGTGCATCACGTCGAAAAAGTACCAGTCCCAGTACCTGTTCACCATGTCGAAAAAGTAGCTGTACCTGTTCCAGTTATACATAAGGTTCCCGTTGCTATACCAGTACATGAGGAGAAACATCATGGTTGGTTTTAAACGGACGGCTTTGTCTTCAATTACAATTATGTTATAGGTTTGTATTGTCTACTTGTAATTTGACAAATGTCTGATTAATACACTAAAATTATATCAAATTAAAAAAGACACATTTTTAATACACATTAAAATTTTTATAGTAATTTTAATTTTTTTAATATTTTTCAATAATTTTCAAGAAAGAAGGAAAGAATTTTATATAATTATACTTCACGTAGGATACACTTTTTTTCTCATTAACTATAACAGTAATGTGCAAGGTGAAGTCTGGGATAATCTATATATTGTGAAAATGTATATATCAATATTATTTGATGTTTTATTTTTATTGTAAAAGTATAATTACTCTAACTTGTTGTAATTGATTTATACGTATACTTAACGATTGTAAACTGGGTTTTCAGGTTACCGTACAAGGTGGAATTCGAGTAAGTAAAAGTTAATAAAATTCATTCTTCATTGCGGATCCATTGATAAGAAGTTTTCTCGTAGAATACAAAAGAAGACGAAACTAATCGGTACAAAATTACTCCACCAGTACAGCATTAAGAATTTAGCGTAAGAACCAAATACTCTGTATGCACATGTGTGTACTCAGAAGCGAAATACTTGTATATACTTTACTTCACGTTACACTTTTTCATTATTTTTATATAATAAACTTTTGATATAAAAAGAAATACTTTGAAGGTACATTTATTCATTTCCTTTATTTCTATTAAATAATTACAATTCTAAAAACTAGTAATTCGTAGAAACTACAAGGAGAAGAATTATCATTTGGCTATTTAGCCAAGTCTATTGAAATTGTTTAAATATTATTTGCTACAAATTTTGATAACAAAAAAACGCCATATTTGATACAAATTTTGTTATACTCAAAACTGTCAGCAAATTGATGGCAGATAAAGAATAAAATCGATGGAATAAAGAAGCAATTAATCAAGTCATTAGTTTATAAATATGGTTTATTTTACACAATTAACAGTGTGGAACGATAACAAACAAGTCGTTCAGATATCATCAGACGATTATGATTAAATAACTCTGTCATAACAAGGTTCCTTAACCATAAGAATGTTGCGAAGATAATTTACCAGTCAACCACTTCGTGTTTATGGTCATCGTGTGATTTGACGTGAACCGGTATGTAAATTTTCTTCACGTGTGTATGATGATGTTCGTGAATATGATACGGCACGTGGATTTTGAAGTGCGTGCTAAAAGCAATTTCAAGTTTCTCTGAATAATCTTAATGTGTCATATAAAACTGTATATCATTTAAAAGGAATATATGGAGCAATAATTAGAAAACTAGAAAATTACTGTTCGTGATGGCCACCACCGCCAGGATACGGCATCGCCGATACTAAAGCCATTGTGACAACCAGCAAAAGTAGAGCCTAAAGCAGAAAGATATTACATAAGAAATACAATAAAAATTTTATTTTAAAAAATTTAAAAATATTGCTTGTTTTTTACACGTCACAAACCAACATGCATACGCCTATGATTTAATCCATTATCGGATCAGAGATAGATCATAGATCTTATATTTTATTGGAGAAAGTTAATCATATACATTGTTTTATCAGAAAATCGAAGAATAAAATGGAAGTAATAATAATCAAAAGGATTTGTCATAAAACTGTAATTATTAGGTAAAATTATTCTGATAATGAGAAGAGATGTCATCGAAAATGTTTGAGGTAATTTTTATACAGATATGTAAATTATGTATTACATCAATCTTTTTTCGTTTTTTTTGTCACATTATCTCTCTTTTACAAATACTTATACAAATATTTGATATTTAAGCTAATTAGGAAATAATTAGTTGATTATTTATAATATATTTTATATATTTTTATTGTATTCTTTTAATTGTCGGTTTTTTCTTTCTTTCCTTTTTATCTTAATTAATTTAAAATAAATATTATTAAAAAAAAATTAACTTTAAAGTAATTAATAAGCTTATTGTTAAAAACCAATGCGGTGATAAAAATCAATTTATTCATAATTTATTAACCTATTATAAAATAATTCGTTAGCGTAAAATAAAAATAAATAAATAAAGTAAATAAATAAATTTAAAATAAAACCTACTGTGTGTTTTGCGTATAAGATTATTAATCATAAAAAAATGCACATATTATTCTTATTTAACACAAATTTTATTAGAAAAATGTATATCATCTCTCAGAGAAAATGTATTTCCTGTTTTATCATTCACATTATACTAAAATAAAATAAATTTCAAATGAAATAAATATGCATACAACAAAATTCAAAATTTGTAAAATTTTGATAAAACTAATAAAATATTTTCGTATTACACATAAAACTTGCTACAAGTTGTAGATTGTCTAAAATGGATTTGATCTATTTTTTTTTTAGCAAACTATTGTCGATTAGCATTATTCGCATATTACTGGAAGGAGAACTAAAAATAAAATCGTCACTTTATTAAGCATCCATACGAGAGCATTTATCTGCGAGTTATCTCGTCTCGCTCAATTAAATGAACCGACATCACACAACATAACGAATTCACACTCAAATCCGACACCCACGTGTATTTCGAATTTGAACATGTTCACTCTATATATGCGCTAAATGTACGTTAACTCTTCTGAGATTGGAGTTTAGTGGTGACTAAAAGTCTCTTTCGCAGACAGCCTTATAAATAGAAACATAGTCAGTGAACCGTGTATGAAAACTGAATAATAACGGTGGAGTTGTTTTCTTGAAAACAGTTCCTGTATGAACCACTTTATTTCACTTGAATTACTCTCACTTAAGTGGTTTACGCAAATTTTCACGTGTAGTTTCGCATGCACGTTGTCGTAAACATAATTTTCGCAAGTTCTCTGTCGCAAATTTCGACGTTCACGCTTTGATTTGTGGATAGACTACATGCCTTTCCGTAGAGTGTGGTCACCTTTGCGAGTTATCTAGTTTGAAAGTATCGAAATGCACTTAAAAAAGAAACACACCCGGAAACTCGCCGGTATGATTTCTCCTTTGAACGAAAATCGGCGCATTATTCTCCAAATATAATGAAAGTAAATGAGTTGCTTCTTCATCGAATATCATACAATATTATCAGGAAGTAGGCAAAATTAAAATAAAAAGATGAAAGGAATAACATACTCATAAAGAGAAAATTGTTCTGATGAAATAACTTCCTTTCTTTACCTTCAAGTGAAATCGATTTACCGCAATTCAAGTTGCACAAATTGCATGACTCCTCGAAAAAGCGACTGCGAAGAATTCTGATTTTCTTCACACCCACTTTATTTCTTATTTGATTTCTTATTCTTATTCGAAATTATATCGCTTATTACATTTATTATGTAAGTCATTACGGTTGAATAATAATCTCTAGTCCACACTTATATATTATGTGTATAGAATTTCAATTAAGTCTCAATTAAAGATATTACATTATGAACTTTTATGCAATTTACGTAATCCATTACGATTTTATACTCTCGATTTTTACGATTAAACATGTCTGTAATATTTCTAAGTACATAAAAGACAATTTTCTTCTTTATTTAAATTATTTTTAAATATTACCGATGTATATATAAGGGAATCCGAGAATGTTGTTTCTTTTTATTTTTAATAATTTAAAAATATAATTATTATAATAAAAATATGATAAAAAATTGAAAAATTCTCTTTATTATGGAATATATACACGCATATATATATGTATTCTATAATAAAGAAAATCTTTCAATTTGTGATCATATCTTTATTCTTTGTGGATTAATGAAAATACAGATTATTATATCCGTTTTAGTGTCCCATGGTAAACATGTGTAAACATCTATATTTTACATACATACAGTGAAATCGCACCTCGTTTATTATATGATTGGTTCTTTCACTTTATGCTTACTTTCGATTTTAAACTAATCCAGCGTTAACGCACTTTATGATACAATAAATGCAATTTTATTTTAATGCCAGTTAACAGATGTCGACGATTAAAGCACTACGTTAAATTGATACTCATTAAGAAGTGAAAATCATGTTTGATATATATATCCCTGAATAGGAGTATTCCTCTTTTCTTACAGAAAGCAAATCGTATAATATGATATAGACACAGATATATCTAATGAATAATGTATGATGTAGGGATAGAGATATAAATAGAAAAAAAAATAAAATAAAATAGATTTCATAAAATTTTGTTTTTTATCAGAAATAAGTATATTTAATTTTAATAACTAGCATAAATATTTAAATTAAACTTGGCACGAATATTATTTATTTTTTATTTAGATATAAACATGCAGTATGTAATTTAAAAAATATGTTATAGTTATTATTTAATAATAACTATACATATATAATAATACTTATACAATAATACTTTAATCATCAGTTTTATCATTCTTTGAACTCTTGAAACTCACTATAGAAAAATCTAAAATTTTTTCCTGCATTGTCTATAAGCTACAATCTGCATCATTATCTAAACGAATTTTCGCTTATTCTGAACTTCAATATTGTCTAAAAAAGTTCAAACTCTTTGTTAGGTGCTGATGCTGCTGGAGGTTTGAGTAGAAACAAATCAAATTTGCATTTTTTCATTAAAAAATACGTGTATTTTTTTCAATGTTTTTCTATTTTAAAAAATGATTTTTAGAAAACAAAATTTAAATATGCAAATATTAATATATTCCTTTTTATGGTTAAATTTTTGCCAATTTGTGTAAATACACATTCAATAAATTTATCATATACAAAATATCATGTAATTGATGTTGTCTGATATTTTCGTACTGCATTACATTGAGATATTAGCGGAAATAAGAGGCTACAATTTATGTTTATGTACTAACGATCATAGACCATCTTCGTAAATTACTTCCTACAAGACTTTCCATGCCATTTATCGTGATAAATGATCATAATAGTATTACTATATAATGCATGGGCAAGCATTAATGTAAATATCAGAAATTAATGGATAATAAGACAAAAAATGCAAGTGAAAGCGAAATCTTACACTTTGCCAATATAAAATTTAAAAAAATTTATATTTTATTCAAAAGTAAACTGTTCAAAAATAAGTATAAATTCAATAGATACAATTAGCTGAGTATATCATTATATAAAAAAATATTTCGAAATCTCTATAAAACTCTATTCAAAAATTACTTATGAAAAGTGAATATGTTATTAATGCAATTACTCAAAACTAATAACCTAACACCATGCAATGAACGGATATTGTGTTTATACAAAATCCTGTCGATCCAGTCTATTGTTCCTTTTACATATGGGAGGATAGAAAGGCTTGTTTTGTCTAACTCGTCCTGTGGTTGTTGTGTGTATGAGTTTCTTGTCCTAATCCTGTGTTTGTTGATTGTCCTGTTTAAGTCTTCCTTATTATATCCGTTCCATTGCAAGGTTTGTTTTAAGTGGTTGAGTTCTGTCTTCAGATTTAGTATCTCTCTATCAGAGAATACATGCTCTATGTAAATTGTCGCCTATTTTTGCTGGATGGTGATTTAGCATGTAAGTATCTATCAGTGTGTGTTGGCTTCCTGCATATTTGATGGCCCAGGGTGTTGTCAGCTTCTTTTATGATAAGAACATCCATTCTTAATTGATTATATATAATTCTAACATAAAGAAAAAATAATGTCATATATTAAAAACATACAAAAACTTTATTGGAACAACATCATAATATTATATATATATATATTTATTTATTTTGATCGCAAAAATTGTGTATATTTTCTAAAGTGCTTGGTGAGCAAGGCACGTAAAGATCTAAACTGAGGTGCGTGCTGGATTTAAAAATGAGGTATAAAAATATAAAAATAATAAAAAATAATGTGTAACATAATCGTAATCACGAATTATTACGATTTTTATAATTATATGCGCTTAATAGCTTTTATCACAAACCAGTTTAAATGTCTCTAACGCTTGAATTTATAATTATTAATATTCTCATTTTCTATTATATCTACTTCCGAAGTAATAGGTCTTCAGCAATATATATTTTTTAAAACTTGTGATTTGTCGTACATAAGTTCGAGTATTCAAATAATATTTCTAAAACTATTTATTTTTATGATAAATTTTTTTCGCGGTGTATCATAAATCTGTCATAAAAATTAGTCTAGTCAAGTCAGCGTGTATTTGTTCTAATATTTTACTGTATTAATTTATTATTCTATATAACAATTGAAAGATTGTCTAGTCTAGTTTTACGACGTCATAAATATAGTAGTTAAGTCGGGTCTACTTCATATAATGGTCTACAATAGTCTACAAAGAGTAGGATAATTTATTTTAAAAACGTCAGATGAATTTCTTACTGGCTAATTGTTTAAAAAAACTATTTTTGATGAATCTATACATTTGTCTTTCCTATGACTTTATAGAAATTCTAGTTACGTACATGTCAGTTTGTCGTCATTACGTTATGTCAAATAATAATCAGATGTAAAGTCAGTGTAATAGTCTCGTTCAACGTATTTCTGTTGATATTGTTATAAAAAATTACTAATAAAAATAAAAAAAACCGGCAAAATTACAGCTTTATAAGTTCGTACAAAAAAGTAAAAAATATTAAATTCTTCTTTGTATATCATCGTATATCACACAATTAAAGTGGCAGTATTACGATTTCTTTGTATATTATGATATATCACACAATTAAAGTGGCAGCATAACGATTTCTACTGAAGATTTAAACTTGCTTTTGTCATCAATCAATCAAACATTAGTTGAAAATATGTCAGTAAGCAGATATTTATAGCTGTAAATATCTACAATGTCCAACATATTAATCACAGTAGAATCATTTCTTATTTCTTTTTGTGATAACCGGAGAAACCACCACTGTGACCTCCACCGTAACCACCGCCACCGCCACCGCCTCCGCCACCACCGTGACCGCTTGAATAGGAATCAAAGCCGCCACCAGAACTGTAACTGCTTCCGCCGTGGCCACTGAAAAATATCAATATAAAATATTATACTTGTATAAGATTATTTATGTACAATAATTGAGATTTATCTTTCTTTTTATTAATATTTATTTCTACCAATGTAAATTAAGTTTAGCAAAATTCGACATTTACCTGCTACCAAAATCAGATGATATACTATTGCCATAACCGCTGGAGCCATGATCATCTCCACCGATATCATGTCCGCCTCCAAAA